TGCACCCGCCTGCTCCTGCAGCTCTGGCGCGCGCGAGGCTGAGGATGGCCCCAGCTATAGCGAAGCAGGCGAGGAAGGGCAGACGTCAAGCCTGTGCTGCGGTAAAGCCGAGTCCTCTGCGCCAGCAGCTGACGCGGGCTCGAGGGGAACCTGGGCAGGGACTCGGAGGGAGATCCTGCGGAGCACAGGGCAGAAGCGGGGAGCACCTTGCCTCTGTCTCTCTTGACCTGCCCTTACACCTCTCTGGGTGTCTGTCTGGGCTGGAGGCACCTCTGCTCCGGCCCATGGTCACACCGCCGGGCTTGCCAGCAAGCGCAGAGGCTCTCGGCGCCCAGGCTGGGACACCCCACGCTGAGCATCCCCTCCCGACGCCCACAGATGGCCTCTGTCACCTCGCTGCCTTCCCGGCAGCACCCGGGGGTGGAGCAGGGACGTGCTCTGGGTGACAGCTCTGCTCTCCCCTTCTCTGCCCTTTCTGGTGGTTACCAGCTGGTACTTTCTTCTCCGCAGGCGTTCGGGCAGTAACCTGAGCGGGGCCAGCGAGGGCCACCCTGAGGACTGGAACCTGGAGGACAGTGTGAGTCGGCCGGGCGAAGCGGGAGGGACGGTCCTGGCGGGGTGACACCAGGGCAGAGGAGCAGGAGAGGAGGAGGTTGTTGGGGGGACTCTCCGTCCGGTCCCTCCCGCGGCTCCGGGATGGAGCGGGGTTGGTCGCTTCGTGAGCCTCGGGGAGGACGGGTGGCAGTGGCCTTAGCGCAGCGCCCCGAATGCCCTCCTGAGGGAAGCAGGATGGGGCTGGGGGGCAGCTGCACCATTGTTCCCCCGTGCCTTGGAGAACAGGCTTCCAGTGATGCTGCCCAGTACGTGCCCAGCTCCTGGGCTGTGGCTGCCGCTCCCTGGTGCTGCTGGGTCTGCTTAGGTCGTGCTGGGCAAGTCTGGCTTAGAGTGGTGTTTCTTCTGCTGCTTCCGCAGGTCTTTGAAAGCTCAAATCAAAGCAGCTGCAATGAGTCCACTTGCAAAGATCTCCTGCCGAAGAAAAGGAGGCGGACTCGCATCCCCGACAAACCCAACTACAGCCTTAACCTCTGGAGCATCATGAAGAACTGCATCGGCAAAGAGCTCTCCAAGATCCCCATGCCCGTAAGTGAGCCTGCCCCGGCGCCGAGGGCCGGCCGCGACGGCGACGCCAGCGCTGAGGGCTGAGTTTGGGCACAGCCCTTGGCTCTGCGAAGGATTCGGGCTACGGCTC